AGGGAGTGCTCTAACCACTGGGCTGTTCGGTATAATTTAAGGAAGAGACCCACCACCTTTCTTGAGAAAGGGCTGACCCGAATTAGGCACCTAAAAAGGTTCACAACTATGAATCCTGAGCAGAGGGAATCATCATCCGCCAGCCTGTAGTTCAGAATCTAACTCCACCAAATTCAGGGTGAAGGATAGCTCCCTGTTCAGAGTGCTGGCTTCTGTAAATCCTTTTCTCAGTATCTAATTATGTCCACACATTGTATAAGGAACCTCTTTTGAATATAGTCCCTAGCCTTATGTAAAAACATTCTCAGAATAATATAACAGTACCCCTAACAACTTTATAACCAGTAACTTCATTCCTCACTATTTCATTACTTGTATAACTTAATGGTTTAATAAGTTATATAGGCCTTTCATTATACTGTGAAGCTTCTAAATTGATTTAACTTTTTTAGGTTGAAACCAGATCCTAGCATAGCTTCATGAAGTAATGTGCTTGTGTTATGTTGAAGAATTTACATACAAAATTATTTTAAAATGAATGGCCCTACTAGGTCTTCACAAAATGTAAATGAATGAACTTACCACTAGGATCTATAGGGGTCTTTCTATTTTAATAGTATTTCAATGAATATGCATTAATTAACAACATTTTTAATTTATCACACATGGGGATTCATATAAGATAAATTAAAAAAACCCAACATTTTCTTCTCTCCTCCCTCCATAGGAATAATTTGGAAATAAACCACTGTGGACACAATTAAAACCAAATCCAGCTGGGACAGATTTATGAGACACTGCCATGAAAATAAAGGATATCTGAATTAAAATACATAATTTCTGGAGACAGATCACACAGAATTAATCTAACTGAAAACCTGCAATCTTTCAGGTGACTTAAATGTTTTGTAGTCCATGTGATTTATGTAGGCAACATGGCATTCTACACTTTCTGTATTCTAAAAAACTATATTCTAATTTCTACAAACAAAATGTTATTGATTTACCAATTAAGTTAGTCTGGGATAACACATTTTATATAATGTCAGAAAATTCATGAGAGGACTTTTTCATTAGGGGTTAACTTCACCTGTCGCCATAAGCTCTTGGCAGTGCATACTAGCAGCTTTGTAGTCCTGGAAATGGAGAGCTTGTTCCACTAAAAGGATCAAAACCTGGCCTTTTCTCTCTGTCTGGTCATCTCCTGTAAGTAGAGCAAAAAAGTTATACCAATTATTTCAAAAGTCAATAGTAAATTAAGTATTAACACAGTATTTCACAGGAATATTTCTGCATATTTTGAAAGAAAGCCATTTTCTTTCACAACACACCAATTGGTGGTTTGGATGCTATAATATGCATCTATCTCTTCCTGATGGAACCAAGACATTGTGTATTCAATTACTGAAATTGGCAACAGTCTGCTCAAACCGTGTGTGTGTGTGTGTGTGTGTGTGTGTGTGTGTGTGTGTGTGTGTGTGTGTGTGTGTGTGTGTGTGTGTGTGTGTGTGTGTGTGTGTATATATATATATATATATATATAGCTAGAGGAACTCACGTCAGTATGCATTATGTATAAAGAGAAAAACACTTTTTTGAAAAAATAAATACAATCTAGTTAATTACCATTTTATATGTTGCCCAAGATCTTCAAACAGGGGGTTTAAAAATTATGCTCCAATTATCAAAATGATCACCAATTAAGTCTCTAGATATGGATTTATTTTTAATTGGAGTTGCTGCATGCTTCAATGTTAGCTTGGCCTCCTCACTTGTTCATTCCTTAACCTCTCCACTAAGAAAAACTGTCATACTGTGTTAACAATTATTTACCATTGGGAGCTGGACTGCTACAAAACTCCTCTCATCCAGGCTACTGCCCAGTAATCAAATGGAAACAACTTTTGGTCATTTTTAACTAGGATAAATTTGAACCAGCATCCTCGAGATTAAATGTTTCTAGATAACTGCCAGAAATCCAGTGCCTGCCCCATGCCATTGACACCTTTCTAATATATTATACCTAAACAGGGAGATTCCATCTCAGCAGCACACAAAAAGAAGGAATAACCTAAGTGCAGGAAATGGATCTGTGCCTGTTACTCAGAAATCGCTTTGATCACTAGTCAATTGAAATTTATTATTGTTTAAAATCAGTAGGAGAACAATTGGAGCTGTTCTTCTCTTAATTGATCTTAAGTGGTCATATGGATTAGAGATTTTTTCCCAATTTACGACAATTTATTTTAAAGCAAGAATCTCTCCCTCTGTGTGTCTTACAAGAGTGCAAATGCACTGTTAGCACCATTCTCTCTTATCTTACAATTCTTTGTATCGTATATCAATGTGCCTCTGATTTAAACTCCCATTATCTTGATGCACACTTGTTATAACAAAGGGTAACAACAAAAATATGACTAGCAAACCTTCTGCAATGCCAAACTAGAACATTTTTCATGTGGCTTTTGCTGACTCAGTGTAGCCACTTAAAATTTTACTCCCTAGAGATTTCCAGTATTTTCTCTTATTCTTCCACTTAGACCTGGAAATCACTGCCACTGCTTTGTATCAAGTCTTAAAGAAATGTCTTTTAATGTCTAGACCCTCATCCCTTGCAATAATGGCATGAGGTATTCAAGATTTTTCTTTAAAACCTTTGGTAAGATAAATGCCATCATAGACTAAGTGACTTACTTTATTCAAATATTTACTGTATTATTCCTATCTGCTAGTGCTGTAGACATCCAGCAGATTGAATAGCAAAGACATTTTAAAATCAGGAACTGGAAGTGCTGTACTACAATTATTTCTACGGCACTGTCTGTATATACAGAGAAAAGCGCCCGTCTAGATGTGATTCTCCGGAAAATAAGCCCTTTTTCGGAGGATCTCTTATTCCTACTTGAAAGTATTCCCCAAGCCGGAAAAAAGCGGCAGCCATGTAAATGCAAATGCCGCGGGGGATATTTAAATCCCCCACAGATTTTGATATTCCGATGTGTCTAATCTGCATCCCTTTTCTGGAAAAGGGGTGCAGTGTAGACACGGCCCATGTGTTTAGAAACCACCACAGGACTACTCCCTAGCAGGAAGCCTGCTAAAAAACCTGTGGGTCCCCTAGATGATCGGGCTATAAAAGGAGCAATCAAGGACGATAAAGCCATTGCGGAGAAACTACATGATTTCTTTGCTTCACTCTTCACGGCTGAGGACGTTTGGGAGATTCCTGAATCTGCACCGTCCTTTGTGGGTGATGAATCTGAGGAACTGTCCCGGATTAAAGTGTCATTAGAGGAGGTTTTGGAACAAATAGAAAAACTTAATGTTAACAAATCTCCGGGACCGGATGGCATTCATCCAAGGGTTCTAAAAGAACTCAAATGGGAAATTGCTGAGCTATTATCTGTGGTTTGTAACCTATCCTTTAAATCGGCTTCCGTACCTAATGAGTGGAAGGTAGCCAACGTCACACCAATATTTAAAAAGGGCTGTAGAGGCGATACTGGCAATTACAAACCGGTAAGTCTAACTTCAGTATCGGGCAAATTAGTCGAAACAATAGTAAAGAATAAAATAGTGAAGCATGTAGAAGAACATAATTTGTTGGACAAAAGTCAACATGGTTTCTGTAAAGGGAAATCCTGTCTTACTAATCTATTAGAGTTCTTTGAAGGGGTTAACAAACATGCGGACAAGGGGGATCCAGTAGATATAGTATACTTAGATTTTAGGGGGATCCAGTAGATATAGTATACTTGGATTTTCAGAAAGCCTTTGACAAGGTCCCTCACCAAAGGCTCTTGTGTAAATTACATGGCCATGGGATAAGAGGGAAGGTCCTTTCTTGGATTGAGAACTGGTTAAAAGACAGGAAACAAAGGGTAGGAATAAATGGTAAATTTTCAGATTGGAGAGGGGTAACTAGTGGTGTACCCCAAGGGTCAGTCCTGGGACCAATCCTTTTCAACTTATTCATAAATGATCTGGAGAAAGGGGTAAGCAGTGAGGTAGTAAAGTTTGCAGATGATACCAAACTGTTTAGGATAGTCAAGACAGAAGCAGACTGTGAGGGACTCCAAGAAGATCTCACCAAACTGAGTGATTGGGCAACAAAATGGCAAATGAAATTTAATGTGGATAAGTGTAAAGTAATGCACATCGGGAAAAATAACCCCAACTATACGTACAGTATGATGGGGGCTAATTTGGCTACGACAAATCAGGAAAGAGATCTTGGAGTTATCGTGGACAGTTCTCTGAAAACTTCCACACGGTGTGCAGCGGCGGTCAAAAAGGCAAATAGGATGCTAGGAATTATTAGGAAAGGGATAGAAAATAAGACCCAGAATATCTTACTGCCCCTGTATAAAACTATGGTACGCCCACATCTTGAATACTGTGTACAGATGTGGTCTCCTCACCTCAAAAAAGATATTTTGGCCTTGGAAAGGGTTCAGAAAAGGGCAACTAAAATGATTAGGGGTTTGGAACGGGTCCCATATGAGGAGAGGTTAAAGCGACTGGGACTTTTCAGTTTAGAAAAGAGGAGACTGAGGGGGGATATGATAGAGGTCTATAAAATCATGAGTGGTGTGGAGAGGGCTGATAAAGAAAAGTTATTTATTAGTTCCCATAATAGAAGAACTAGAGGACACCAAATGAAATTAATGGGTAGCAGGTTTAAAACTAATAAAAGGAAGTTCTTCTTCACACAGCGTGTTGTCAACCTGTGGAACTCCTTGCCAGAGGAGGCTGTGAAGGCTAGGACTATAATAGAGTTTAAAGAGAAGCTAGATAATTTCATGGAGGTTAGGTCCATAAAAGGCTATTAGCCAGGGGATAAAATGGTGTCCTTGGCCTCTGTTTGTCAGAGGCTGGAGAGGGATGGCAGGAGACAAATCGCTTGATCATTGTCTTCGGTCCACCCTCTCTGGGGCACCTGGTGCTGGCCACTGTCGGTAGACAGGATACTGGGCTAGATGGACCTTTGGTCTGACCCAGTACAGCCGTTCTTATGTTCTAAGGACTTGTATGCTTTGATTTTGTGACTACTAAGAGTCACTCTACTACGTATTTACAGAATTCTTAAAGAATATCATGCATCTTATCTTATGGCAAACATCATAAATACAGTCAGGTTTTGAAGGGTATTTTTGCTCAATATGGCAACTTTCAAGTGTGCTACTGTGTGTCCATGGAGGTTAAAGTGCTCTCCTTCTGGTTTTTGTATGTTGCTCTTCTTGATAACTGATTTCTGTCCATTTATTCTTTGGCACAGAGACAGTCCAGCTTGTCCAGTGTACATGGCAGATGAGCACTGCTGGTATATATCACATTAGTGAGTATGCAGATGAACGAGCCCCTGGTGGGATGGCTGATGTGGTTAGGTCCTATGGTGGTGAAATTTCTGAGCTGGAATTCTGAGCAGCAGGGCGCCCCAGCCGGTTGGCTCCTTCTTACTGGAGTAGTGCACCAAGGCACATCAGCTTGTTTTCAGTTCTGGTTCAGTTTCTTTCAAATTTTGCTGAGTTATGTCAGTTTTGAGTACTGTACTTGATTTTGTGATTCTGTCCCTTTTCTGTTTGGTTTTATGAGAAGCAATCCCATTCTAGGCACATCCTGTTTTCTTGGCATAACAAAACTCCATACATTGCTTCAAGTTATGATAAAAGGAAGCTGTATATCAAATTTGGTGTTCCTAGCTCTTACCTTTTAGGAGTTGTTGATCAGACAGACAAACTCTCTAAAATATATAGCAGATACGGACTGTTAAAGGACATCAGAGTCTCTATGTACACACTATATTTAAGGATGAATCAGTATTTCCATTTCAATTCCTGTTTTGCAAGAGTTTATTAATGTGATCATAACAATCGACTGACTTTAAACTTGGTGTGACGTGCTGGATGAAGAGTAAATTTCAGTTGCTTTAGGGCTGTTATGATCATGAACAAAAAATCTTCATAATGTAAAAGTTATATAAACTGAACAGTGCAAAAGTGCGTTCAGCTTATTCTGAAAAAGTGATACAGAGCCCTATCCAAGGACATACAACTTTCATTCAAGTCAATGCTGCCATATCTAGGCATGTCAAAGTTAACGAATGGCAGATTTAAACACAAACACTGTGTAATAAGACTGTGGAACTCACCACCACATGATGATAAAGGTCAAGAAGAATTTAACAAGTGTTTTTTTTTTTTTTTTACAAAAAGTCGTATTTATTTTATGGATAATATCCAATTACAAAAAAGAAGATTAACAAAAATTCTCAATGGATACAAAATAACTTCAAGTATCAAGATTTAAAATTTACACTAATGTCTAGTTATTAGGGATTAGGATGGACCTTAGCTGGGGAGAGGGGGAGCAGATTGGTTTTTTTTTTTAATCTGGACTATTTTCTTGTACCTTGGTCCAAAGCATTTTGCACTGGTTCCTGTTCAAGACCAGATGGATTAGGGGTCTGACATGCTGTGGTAATTTATATAATCCTGCAAATAGCCTATTCTTTGAGAGTCATTCAGATCTTAATTTGTAAATTTTCTAATTCCAACAACTGAGAGTTTAAAGATATAAATAGCATAATAAAGCCATTTGAAACAGCACTGATATTTAAGCTCTAAATGTAATGCCCCAAAATAGTTCAGAACTGCTAACATGGAACATTGTCTATTGCTAAACAGAGCAATAAAGCCTGTTCAAGGTTGTTGAATTTGTTTGTTTGCAACTAATGCTCCTTTCTAATGAGGTAGCTCCTCAAGAAAGAAAAGATATTAAGCCATTTTTTTTTTACAAGCAAGTCTCATGTTTTAGATCATACATGACCAAATCCCAACTCTCATAAGGAATAGGAATGAATATGCATTAATAATTATGGCATTAATTGTAGGCAAGGTATGCATTCAGTACAAAAACAAACTAAAGGCTTACAGGAAAGAGTATCTCCATTATTGCAGTAAGACCTGACAGTCTGGCATTCTATAAGCTTCCACAGGCAGTACAAATATAAAGTTATATGCAGAGTGATTTTATGCATAAAATAATTACTCCATTACTTTGAAGTGTTTTGTTGCTATTATGAAGTGGCACTATTGCTGACAACATCGGAACATACAATTCTTTATATTTATTTAACCTAGAGACCACAAAAATATTAGCACCCGTTAAAACACTATGTTTTGCTCAATGAGATAGCCTCTTGAAACACACTAATTTCCATGAAATTCCATATTTATCTTGGGAGTGACTATTACCATTATATCTGAGATTTTATTTCTGAAAAAAGCTGCCTGCTGTGCTAGGAAAACAATTATTATTGCACAAAGAATCCCACTATTGGCTGAAATCTCCACTATATTTTTTAATCTTTATCTAAATTCCTTTGGTTGGTTCTCCTTCCTCTTATCATTCAGGTTACCAATTAGACAAAAAAAAAAAAAAGAAACATAATTAGCCTGACCACCATCACCTCTGGAAGAACGAAGGGCAACACAAGGAGCTCAAACATAAGACAATGCACTTTTCAGCCTATTCAGTTTAATTGAGATTCCTTTAAAAAATGTGCCGAAACACTGCCTTGAGAGTGAGCGAGTTATTTAATTTTATCTACACATTATTTACTGGAATGAGCTAGGGAATGGTTATTACTTATTTATATTCATGAGTCATATGTATCAAATTATTTTATTATATATATTTATATGACCCTAACTTATCATTATATGACATTATTGCTAAGCAAACTGAATAGGCAGGACAGTACTATTACTCCTTCTCTACCTCCCTTAGGAAGTACACTCCCACTCAACCATCCATAACTCTCAGTGGCCCACAATCTCTTCCTTAATACCATGCTCCTTATTGCATTTGTCAATATTCAAGATATTATTTTACATTATAACTGTTTACAAGTACAACAGAAAGGGACAGAAGGAGCATTTAATAAGATAATGAGGTTGGTGCCATCAGATTCTCATGCTTCATGACTGATGCACTGCCACTCCAGCTTCTGAAGGAGTGGGGTCTATCCACAAAAGCTCATATTTTGTTCGTCTCTATGGTGCCACAGGACTACTCATTGTGGTAAAACATAGTATTTTATTTTCATTTATTCTTTCAAAAGGCGATGAAGACAACAAGATTCATGAGACTATGTAAGCCACATCAGAATACATCCTGATCACACTCCTCACATCCCAAGTCTAGGGAAAATATGTTTTATGCACACCAATATGCTTGTAAACATTAAAAGAAATCAAACAAGAATTTAGCATAAACAATATGCAAGAGGTAACACATATATAAAAAAGCAAGCCGGAGATTTGGTCTAGGTGGTGGGAAGTAAGGCTACGTCTAGACTGCATCCCTCTGCTGAGAGAGGAATGCAAATCAAGCACTTTGAAAGTGCAAATGAGCCCGGGATTTAAAAATCCCGGGCTTCATTTGCATGCTCACGTTCCGACACTGTGCCGATCATGCTCAGTGTCAAAAGTGAAAGTAAAGTGTAGCCGCGGCTCTGCTGACAACGGGGAGCTTTTTCGGCAGCTCCTGTACTCCTCAAAAAATGAGCCTAAGACGTACAAGAGACACACACAGAAAGGCTAGTTTCCCCAACCAACACCCAAAACTTTGAGACAGTCCTAATCGTACAATCTCTAGGAATGCCTCCAAAATACCACTAACAGCAGTTATTATTGAGCTATGGTAGAAAAGAGTCATATATAAATACTAGATATTAATAGCATTACACATAATTTAGGTGTTGAACACACTTCAGCAGATGGATCTGGAGGAACATGCCCAATTCACTTGCCTTCCTTTTCTGCAATAGCAGAAAATTCAATATGGAAGAGCTATTGTATTGCATGTCTGTCATGACCAGGAGAGTTAGGCAGCAACCTGGGGATTAAGGGATTAACTGTACCTAAGACAGGTAGCAGTCAGCCAATAAAAATGCAGATAAGAATTTCGAATTCAGACAAAGGAATTTTTAGGTTTTTCCCCTCCTTTGTCTCTGGGCAGTTTCTCTCCAAATACTGAGGGAGACAAACATGTCTCTCTCTCTCTCTCTCTCTCCAAGAAAAAACTCTTTACTATCTGCAAGTAGGGTAAAGTTTTATGTAAATCTGTTAGGTTTTATTGTTTTATGGTTTGGGAATCTGATGTCTGTGCATTTAAAAATGGGTTTTCCTCTACTTTGTAACTAAGCTCTTGGCCCATGGAGGGTCCCCGCATAAGTATATTAATTGGTGACTTTTCCATCTAGTCATTATGCTTGTAACAGGAGTATTGTGGTGATAATAAAAGTTCTCTTTCTTTTTTATTAATTTGTGCTGTCCCCCACTTCTGCATTTATCGTGCCAGAGTGGGGAAAAAGCCTTGACAAAGTCCAAACCTGCAAGATATTCAAAACCTTAAATAAGCTTTCAGCCCAAATATGTAACCTTCAGCATAAAAATATGCTAAATAAACTATATACATATATATTGCACTGAAGTTTATGTGAAACACAACTTTTCTTCTCTTACATGAACAAGACTGTTTGATAAATCAAATTACATGAACAGGATTGTTTGATAAATCAAACTAGCATACTTGATAAGGTTTAAAAAATTGAAATTTTAATACTAACATTTGATTCTACAGGAAAAAACATTCTAAGTCGCCACTGAGCAGGGATGAGCAATAATTTTTGGTGGGGGGGGCCACTCCAAGATTTTGGTAAGTGGTCAAGGACTGCACTTTTCTGTGGAGGGAGTACAGGGTCCAGGATGGAAGCTGGATGCAGAAGGGCACATGGGGTAAGGGAACGGGGTTCAGGAGACAGTTGGGGGTCTGAGAGGGTGTTTGGGTGAAGGAAGGGATTATGACCTGGGGCAAGGGGATGCAGAGGGTTTGGAAGGTGACCTGAGGGAGAGAGTTGGGGTGTAAGAGGGGCAGGAGTGCCAGAGATGCTTACCTAAGAATCTCCCAGCCTGCAGCATCTCCAAGGCAGGCTGGGCTCCCTGCCTGCTGCAGCCCCAGACTGCTTGAAAATACAAGTTGTTCTCTCCACATGGCTCGCAGCTCCTGGTGGGGGGAGTAGGAAGAGGCTTTCCCCCCCCCCGTCTCCCAGGACAATCTTTCAGCTCTGATTGGCTGGCTGTTTCCACCCAATAAGAGCTGAGAGATTGTCTGAGGTCAGTTTTTATTGGCTGGTTGTTTCTGGACAATAGGAGCTGAGCATCGGGCTGGAGATGGGGAGATCACATGAAGATTTCCCCTCTTCCTGCAGAACAGAGAAACACAGCTTTAAACTGCAGGCAGCTGTGTATCTAAGGGAGCCGGCAGGGTAGTTCTCATGCTGGATCTGGTGGCTTGGAGGGCCAGATCAAGGCCCCAGGCCATATTTTGCTCAGCCCTGCCCTTGAGCATAACATATACCCTGCATTGCAGTTTAACATTTACATCAGTTTACCTGCAACTCTCAGTAAATCTGCAAGTCCCATGATCTTGGCAGACTGTTTGTAGTTTGTAGGCAACTGAGAAATACAATCCTTGATGAGGCTGAGTCGATCAGAACATAAACGTACTGTTTAAAACAAATATGGTATGTTAAAGGGAGATTATATGGGCAAACTTTCTCTAGTTTAGCTGGAACTGTTGATTAAAGTGCAAACACACACACTCATACTGCATAACAATTACATTACAGTTTAATGAGGACTACAGATACAGAAGGTCCTTCACAAACACGTAAAATACATTTCCCCTGTCCTGAAAAGTCTGCAATTTGCATTAGCACTTTAGGGGCACATTTTAACAGTAGTCGCAATTACCTACATTTCATATTGTAATGTTGATAATCTATAAAGTGTTTAATACAGTAATTTTGTATGGTTTACGTAAAACAATATACTAAAGTTTATGTTTTACGCCAGTATTGACCTTCATAATTGTTTTAGGCAAGCCTCCCACTCCAAAAAATGAGCCCTCTTCATGTTACTAGACAACTTTGAATAGACCATACAGAGTACTAGCCATCAAAACTTTCTATTTAATACTCAAGTGAGCAGGAAATGAATTTAGGTAGGGAAAAACACGAATATTGGCATATTATATTAGAAAAATCTCTATTAAGATGACATATCAATAAGACCAACATAAAAATAGCCATGTATTGCAAGTTTTATAAAGGCCCTCTGGAAATCAAATGGTAAGCAGAGTAAAGATTTAAGACAAGAAACATAACAAAAGTACAGATTTTTGGGTAGGTTCTGTAACACAACACATTAGCAAGAACCATTAAATCTTTGTAATTTACTGATTACAGCAGTTAAATTTATCAAGTATTTCTCATCCTAATTAAAATATAACACAGGTTCTCCACTGAGCACACAGTCAACCTGTGGAACTTCCTGCCAGAGAATGTGAAGAAGGCTAGAACTTTAACAGGGTACAAAAAAGAGCTAGGTTGATTCATGGAGGTTAGGTCTATCAATGGCTATTAGCCAGGATGGGTAGGAATGGTGTCCTTAGCCTCTGTTTCTCTGGAAGAAGGTGACAGGGGAGGAATCAAGTGAGAATTACCTGTTGTGATCCCTCCCTCTGGGGCATCTGGTATTGGCCACTGCTGGCAGACAGGACACTGGGCTAGATGAACCTTTGGTCTGACCCAGTATGGCCATTCTTATGTTCTTAATATTGTGGTTTCATAAATATCAAAGATGGGGATTTCAGACGTATTCACTATTGACCTAACTTTGGAGTTTAACGCTGACTTCAGTGCAATTAGACCAATGCTGACCACTTTGGTAAAATCATATCCCCAAATTTTAATTTCACTCCCTGTGCCTGTACACAAGTACAAATTGCGACAAATTCAGCTTGCTTTACAATACTGCACTGATGTAACTGAACAGAATTTAGCTCAGAATGTGGAGGTAAAAACTAACATTACATGGGCAATAATATACAATAGTTCTACAGTGGTGTATCCCTACTGACTTCAATAATTACCCATGATGTGTAAGATTGAAAAAAAGATCAGAGCCGTAAATTAAGTGGAAACACCAAAAAGTTTAAAAGATATAAGGAATCCCATTTTAAGACTGAAATGCTATAAAAAGCACCACTTCAAATTAAAAAAAAACTAAAATTAAACATTAACTTAATGTTTTAACTTGGTCCTAAAAGTGTAAAAAAAAAAAAAAAGCAATTTTCACACAGAATATTAAAAAGTCCTAAAGGCTTCATAATCATGTCATTATTTTTAAAGCTATCATTTCAGCAATTCTGTTTCTCAAACAAATATATTAAACAGGGTTATTTTTACATTTTATGAATGCACCAAGGACTCAGCCAAACACAAGACTGCCCTTATAAAATATGTCAGTCTTCTTGAGATTGAAGATAAAAAATAGGAGTAAATTGTATAATTCAAAGTGAAAAAGTTAATATTGGCCAGATAGGCATACAAAAATTCAAGGCAGGGACTTTGGAAACTCTTAATCTTCTTCTTACTGGCTCTCTAAATCCTTACTGCAAAGCCATATTCCAATAAAGTAAAATAGATTAATTGAATGGGAAGGGAGAACAGACACAGGCTCCAATCCTAATTCTTGTCTGCAGGAAAGGAAGGAGAGGGAGTGTTTCTTTTCTTCTTTAAAACAAACTCATGAGACAGTCAGCTACTACAGCAATAGATGGTAGGTAGATGAATATTCTAATAAAGGCCAGGTGGAATCAAAAAACTTTTATTTGACCCAAATTTGTGGTTCCACAGGCAGTCAGAAAGGAAGGAAGTATAGATGGATAATCAAACGAAATGTCTTAAGGTTAACACTTTATACTCACAAGAAGGGAATCTGTAAATATTTTTGAACGAGACTCCGGGACTGGTATGGCTCTTGGCACATAAATGCTGGCTGTCCCTGGTGCATGCGCCTTGTCGGGACAAGGCAGCTTGCGTGTTCTTATGATCCCAGGAGCTATGCCAGTGGGAGCTTAGTGGTCCTGGTAAGTTCAACCAAGCTAAAAAGGTCAAGGGGAGAGGAGCCAGACTAAGAATGCACACCAGTCCTCCAGGATTAGGCGTTTGGCTCAGGGCTAACAACTCTGACCTAGAAAAAGCTTTTCTTATGGAAATAGCAAAAAAGATTTCTCTCAACTGTGTGTGACAGCTTTCCAGAGTCACTTATAGTGACTAGTATGACTGCCAGTGGTGAAAGCAGAAACGAAGCTATTGACGTGAAGACAGAAGTCCTGAGAACCAAGATTAAGACCAAAATTGTATTCTGAAATGTACATAAGGGAAGCAGAAACGAGGACGACCCAAGACAACATAGCGCTGGACCGTTAAAGTAGAAATGAAGAGCATGAATTACACTTGGGGCACTACTGAGAGGCTGGCCAGAGACAGACAGAAGCGGAGGATCTTTGTTGCTGCCCTATACGCCAGTGGGCATGAAGGACGATGACGATGATGATGACAATGTTGGAGTGCTGTTCAGGAAGCTTCTACACTATAAAACAATTTACTACTTGTGCTCCTAGTATAGGTTTTTGCTGGTACCTTAACATTGCATAAACAAAGCCTTCCAAAATTCTAACAACTCACTTAACCCAGTATTAAATATTAGATCTTTCAGGACTTCATGAATTTTGTTAGTTTTCATTAGTTCACGGTCACCTAAATTCTATTTAAAGAGTATGGGCAAGCAAAGATGCACATGAAGGAAAAGTGGAGCTAGAAAACAAATAGCAAAAAAAGAATTAACAGAAAAGATGTAAAAGAAGCTAAAAGAAAAACAAAATGAAATAAATGATTGGAAAACTGATTGTAATGGAGAGAAGGAATGCTGATCAAGCACGCGGTGACTAAGGAGTTAAACTCAGGTAACTAGCGAAAGTGTTGGCCAAGGGCCAGGAGAAGCAATCGAGATAGAGGGATGAAATTGGAATTGTATAAGATTCCTTGCCTGCTTTGCGTAGGAGAGAAAAACCAGGAGTTGAGATACAGAAAATGGTTTAAACACAGGCAGGACTACCATGCCTCCAGAAAATTCAAGGCATGGAAGTGGACTGAACCAAGGAAAGATTGGATGCAAGTAAAGGAGAAAAAAGTGCATCTAGTCACCTTAGGGGTATTTTTTTTTCTTTGTTTTGTAGTTTGGTTTGAACTGCTCTGTGTGAGTCTATGTCTCACCTCCCCATTTACCATCTAGCACTGTGCCCAGAGACTTTTTTCTGTGTTTTAATTTGTTTGCCTTTATCAAGTTTATATTTTGTTTTGTAATAAAAATCATTGTTTTAAGGTGATGATTTGATTCTTGTGTCCTGGAGGGTCTGTCTGTCTGCGTGTATCTGCATGCCTCACACTGAGAAGTTAGCTTGTTTTTTTTTTCTTTTTTCAAGCTCTTTTAGGGCAAAAGAGCTTGGGGTACCCCGGAGATGGGTTCAAGTGCTGACCCCCTTTTTTTAGGGGGTAAAAATCACTTGATGGCAGCAGCAATTCCCCAAAATCCATGTATTGTGATTCTGAGGGGAAGTTTTTGTAACCAGTGTCTATAGAGGCAAAGGGGTTGTTTTGGGGGCGGAGGGTGAGGGGGGAGTTGAGCTTTGCGGGCCCCCATCTTCTGCACTCGGATTGTCAGAGTGGGAAACAGCCCTGACATTGACAATGAAAACAGAGGATAAAGTAAACTGACTAGGTCCAGAAAAAAAGCAATATTTGTGGATAAAAGCTAATGGAGCCATTATCTGAAGAATATCTGATATAACTTATGGAGAGAGGAAATAAAACGTGACAAAGACTATTTGAAGAGGAAGAGGATATCCAGAAATACAGATATGATCACCTCTCTCTCTCTGTTACATCTGTAACACACTGCAAGTCTCGTACATATTTGGCAGTTAGCTAAAGATTACTATTCTGTTTGTCGCAAAAAAAAGTAAAACCTGGGGTTAGAGGGGACATAAGAACATAACATAAGAATGGCCATACTGGGTCAGACCAAAGGTCCATCTAGCTCAGTATCCTGTCTGCCAACAGTGGCCAATGCTAAGTGCCCCAAAGGGAATGAACAGAACAGGTCAAGTGATCCATACCCTGTTGCCAATTCCCAGCTTCTGACAAACAGAGGCTAAAGACACCATTCCTGCCCAACCTCGCAGAGCCACTGATGGACCTAACCTCCATGAATTTATCTAGGGTTTTTTTTAATCTTCCTCAAAGTCCTGGTCTTCCCAATACTTTCTGGCAAAGTTAAGATAAGTTAAGATAAAAAGTTAAGATAAAGAAAAGTGAAGCTAATTAAATTAAGACTCATACTCTCACATAAACCAGAGAAAAGTTTTGAGACCATCCTAACATCTTAGTGAGCAAGATAATACTGCACAGATAAGCAGGGAGAGGGGAAAAGAGATATGCATGTGCACATATACTTGTTCCTCTCTCCACTGTTCTGAAATATTCAGATAAAATGCACTGCAATACTCAAGCACAAAGTGCACTAAAAATGTGAACCCACAACTTTAATTTTCTTCCTTTCATGCACTAAATAGTGCCTCACCCTTAATGTTATTTTAATGTCATCTTTAATATATTTAAATTATTGTATGATAATGTCTAGCTTGGATAAACGTCTTGCAGCTATATGAAAACTTTAAAAGTGATTTTATTCCTTTACAAGATTAATTTATCTGAAAGATTTTGAAGAGAGAAGAATAAAACAGTACCATTAAAAGTGACAGGCTTCATATCACATACCATAGCTATGGTATACTGGATAAGCTACAGGAAATATTAAAACTATACACTATTAAACTATACCTTGTAATGGCAAGATTGTCACACCAAATTCATCCAGATAGTTAAGAGCACGAACGAGGTCTAGCTCCTCTTGGACAGCACTGGGGCAGTCGACAATAAGTTGTAAGCAGCACCTAAATAAATAGGAAAAGAACATTATGCACTCCTGTAAAAAGATCAGACAAGTTACTCTTTTAGATACAGAAATTATAACTTCTTATAGTTGACTCTGAAAAGTGACGGCAAAATAACGATTTATTATATATTTTGGTTTGTCAAGCTTAGAAACTGCATCATGTGACTTAAGTTTTACATGACTCCTCGTTAGCTGACCGATGGTCTGTGACACCCAGAAGCACAGACTACTTATCAAATATCTTAGCTGGGTGACCCAGCTAAAATATGAATGACCTAAATAAAGATACTGAACACCTAAATTAGAAGTAAAGAAAAAAAAATTAGGACTTCTAATACTCTAGCACGTTTAACAAAACAAACACCAAGACATTTAAATTTAGTGAAACATTTAGTGCAGCATGTAAGGGCACACTTCTGTGCATCATTTTGACAAAGCTTTTTAGCCTTGTCAAAAACAGCACACAATGTCAAAAAAGCCCGAGGTCAAGGACCCCAGGCAGTTCATCCAGCAATGTTTTGTATTATAAAGCATTCCAGAATGAATATGATAAATGAAAAATTGTCTGACATTGTAGCAAGTACAAATAAGTCTTCTATGCATGAACAAAATACTATTTCTCAAGTAGTATAATAAAATAAAAATTATTATTGTCTTTAAAACAATCTTTTGTCTTATCTGCACAGTGAAAGACGCATCACTCCATAAGAAAAGACCGTTACCTGTGTTAAATAACTAGTGTTCTTCAAGACGTGTCACTCATAAATGTACCACAATAGGGGCACATGCTTACCATATACGTTGATACCAGAAGTTTTTTCCCTTATCAGAACCCATAGGGGAGCAACTCTAGTGGCCCCTGGATGAACCCTCATGCCACTATATCATGTTTCCTGTCATACCAGAAAACACGTGCCCAAAAGCCACACTGGCCCTTGGGCAACTGGGTCCCTGGCAGGAAGATGAGGATTGCCAAGGACCAGACACCCTAGGGTCACCTACCCACCTCCACCTCACCCATTTCCCTGACACCATCCTCATCCCCTTCCCCCAACCCTGAGCAACCCTGACCCATGACACCAGTCCATGCTGGGAATCCAGCATCATGTCCCCCACAAGATTGGAGCCAATGCTGGTTTCCTTTGGGGGAAGAGGGATGCTGTTCCTCCCCTCCCCACAAGAAAAGCCGGAGCAGAGCCCAAGGCAAGAGACCAAGCAGAGTGTGCAGTGGAGAGAGCCGCTTCCCCACTCCTGGAGAGCAGTGTGGACCAGGGTAGGGTATTAGTCCAGCTTCACAGAGCCTGTAAGCGTTGCCTCACACAAAGAGCACAGTTTAGAATCAATCAAGTTGCTTGTGGGACAGCTCTTCCATGTCCACACAAGGGCAGAGGTATCTGACGTGCTGCAACAGCAGATCCAGGGGGATCAACACATTGCTATTTACCCAAATGTAGGGTAGAAGGAAGAAGATCATAAGGTGCAAATGCACAAAAAGGAATACAAATAAAGAATTAAAGCAAAATTGTTAGGAGAAATGAAATGTCACCTTGTTCCACTGCCAGAGGCAGAAAGGTTGGCTGCTTAAGATGAAGGGCAGAGTTTAGCCACAGGTGGGGAAGATTATCCCATTAGGAATCATTAAGGTGAGAAGCAATGCAACTGGAGAGTAATTTATCTCAGCCAGACAGCCTTTTGTACTTTCAGGTCTTCAAAGCTGTGGTTACAGTCTCCTCCCTCCCCCATTTACTTTACACAAGGGGACAGAAATTACAGGAGAATTTGGCCAAAGCCTTTTTTTTTTTTTTAAAGTGAAATTCATCATCTACTACACATAAAATGAAGGACTCAAGAGATAAAGAATATGGAATAGAGAGAAAGAGAGAAAACATGTTTTACTATACCTGGCTAAATCCATGCAGCTATCAGTCAAGCTGGTAGAAGAATTGAAGTATTCTCTGCCAGCAGCCAAAACCAGTTCAATGCTTTTCTCATAGCTGACTCTATACTGTGGTTTTCCTTTTGAGGCAACACTAACTGGTGGATCCACTGACTCAACACTGCAATGCATCATTTGCCCAGCTAGGTGTATGTTTTCTAGATGGCTTGAACATAGAAGGCTTTCTGTAAATATCTGCAAAGTAGGATGGGTACATTTGTTACAATAGCATCAACTAAAAAAAGTGTTGAATTTTCTGAAGGTCCAAGCCATTTGAACATAAAGGTTCCTAATAATAAATGAGGAAAATGAGCTTAAGGTGTATCTGCAAAATTATTCCAGGATTAATATATGCATAAATAATTTTTCAAGTATTTGAACCACAAAAGAAGAGTAGGACAATAATTCCCATCTCTCTCTTTTTATTTTTTATTTACAGTACAAACTGAATTCTGTTACCTCAGTAACTGTTAACTTCAAAATAAAATCTTTAGTGACACAACAAGATTAATTAATAAAAATCAAAAGATAATATTTCACAATTAAAAAACATTTATAATTCAGATCTGACCCACACTAGAGGTCAAATTTTTGAAGTAGTTTTTTTTTTTAATTCCTTTGTATAGATAGGGCTTAAAAATTAGAAGGGTAACATTTCTACAGTTTAATCAATATTTTATTCATTTGAATATTGTTGTATATAGATAATACTTAGGCATTCATGTAAAAATACGCAAGCACATTACTTTACAAATTAAAAACTCAAGCTTCAAAAATGGCCACTTTTTCCTCCAAATAGATTATGCTGCATTTCAAATTTGTAACTAATACACACGTTTTGCATGGAATTTTTTTAATAGTCTGCTATTAAGCAACTACCACAAATCCAAGTCCTGATACCATCAAGATTTACATAAATGCTTAACTTTACACAGTGTAATTTTGTAAGCAGTCCCACTGAAGTACCTTCAAGTCCACTTCAAGTGTGTAATTAAGTACATGATAAAGTCTGATCCCACTGCCTTGCCCATATGTAATATTACTGACTCCTCAGCTCTGGAAGGGAAATTTAACTATAGGTCTACTTACATCACAGAAAAAAAAATCTTAATTTTGCAGCATGGCTTAAACAACAAATTTCATAGATGTATTCCTACAAGTAGTATGCTGTAGTCCTGTTAGGTTAGTAAGTTGCTAAATCAAGGGTTCTCAAATTTTTTGCCCCCACTGTGATATTCTTTCAAAATATTTCAGGCTGTGATGACCCACTCCAATGCCAAGCCATCCTTACTTCTGTTATGCTGCTAATGGAAACTCTGCTTTCAGAGATGGGTACCCAGCCAGCAGCCACCACTCCCCAAGCTCTAAAGGCAGCACAGACCTAAGGATGGCAGTACCACAGGCCCCCCACTCAAAGAGCCAGATTTGAGAAGGGAGATTTCATGGTTCATGATACATTTTCATGGCTATGAATTAGTAATGCTCTAATAAAACATATTTAAGTTCATAACGAACATCATAACAACAACATTTCCCTTGGGTTTAATATTATTAATTTTAAAACAAGACTAATCTTCAAAGTATGAAAGTAGGATTGTTAATATGTCAATTTATTTTCAATAAAACATTTACCCATTTTAGCCTGAAGGAAAAAAAGGTATGATTATGTAAAATATACTTAAAACTGACTAAATTACCTTTCAGAATAGCTCAAATCAATGGATCATATTTTTTCTCCAATATAAAAGACATGTACAATCCCAGTTAACAAGAATAAAATATTTGAACACTAGTTATTATAACTTTGCATCAATCATTTTTAATACTGTGATAAAAATATAAAAACATTCTTGCAGTAGGCAGATTTTTTTCTTTCTCCAAATTTCATTACATTTAGAACAGCATGCCTGTATTTCTAAACACTCAGATACTATAGTGATGGCTACCACAGAAAAGCCATTAAATAAAATATAGTTTATTTTATTCTTTCATCTTCATTCATAAGGACAGAGCTCTACTAGAAGTACATATAAAAGATTACCTAGAAACAAAGAGGAATCTCACTGTCATGACATTCTTACATATATGCCCTGTCCCTATGCACGTCAAACAACAGGAGATAACTTGTATCCAAAATTCTGTGTCTCATTCCTATACTTAAAACCACTCAGTGGGGCAAGAACATATATACTTTGAGCAAATGCTTTACCCAAAAATATTGCCCGTGAGCTGGATATGGCCTGCCAAGCCTTTGGATCCAGCCCTGACACACTGGGACCCTATGGAACACTCCCTGCCTGCCTCAGGGGCGATGGGGGGGGAGAGAAAAGCACAAAGTTTCCCCTGCCCCAGGTCTAAACTAACCCTTCTACGTACCCTTCAGTAACCCTTTCATCAGGTCAGAATGCTCTCCTGCACTCATACGCCTCCCGGAACCTGCACTCCAATAACTCTGTCGCAGGTAACAGCCCACTCCTTCACCCAAACTCCTTCTCAGACCCAACACCCTCTCCTGCAACCCAATACCCTACCCCAAGCTCCCTTCTTCCCCCCGCCTCAGACCCAAACCCCATCCATAGAAAAGTACGGCACTTGACCAGTTACCAAAATCTTGGAGTGGCCTCCCACACCTACCGTAAAATTGCGAGTATAATGCACACTTTTTTTCCAACTTTTTTTGGGTAAAAGTCGGGGTGCACGTTATACATAGGTGTTATTTTGGTAGCGCCTTGGCTCGCTACCTACCCGGTGCTCCGTCAGGCTGCGCCAGGGGGGTCCCTGTGGCAGGCACGAGCTTGGCGAGCACCGGGGAGGGAAGAGGCTGTGCAGCCCAAACCTTCCAGGTGAGCCTGCAGGTGGGAGCAGCGTGTCCCTCCCTCCTACTCTCCTGCAGCCCGTGGCTGCCTCCGGGAAGTGGGCGAGGCTGGGCTTGGTGCTGGCACAGTGCACAGGCAGCTGTCTGGGAGGGCGGGGCGGCAGGTTTCAACTCCGGCACCGGCTCCCCAGGCTGCACGTGCATTTCCCAGGCGAGTCTTCAAGTGAGAGCAGCGCGTCCCTCCCTCCCGCTCTCCTGCAGCCTGGGGCCGCCTCCAGGAAGTGGGAGAGGCTGGGCTTGGTGCTGGCGGGTTGGCTCCTGGCTGCAGGACAGCCACCTGCTGGCAGAAGTTGTGAGGCTGCTAAGCTCGATAGTTTCAAAGCACAGGGCCCATTATACATAGGAGTTCCGATTTTTTCATTACGCTAAGATTCCAAAGTCAGGATGTGCATCATACATAGGTGTGCATTATACTCGCAATTTTACGGTAAGCTACAGATAAAAGCGTAGACCAGGGGTGTCCAAACTTTTTTCAAAGAGGGCCAGATTTGATGAAGTGAACATGCGTGAGGGCCGACCATTTTGCCTGACATTCTTTGAACCATTAAAATTAAATGGAAATTAACTATTTTATGCAAAGTTTATTGCAAATGGCATACTTTTCATTTCATCACATGGATGACAAATCTAAACAGGTGTTAAATCACTCTGCCTTTCATATCTGAAGGCCAGATGGAAAAAAAAATCCAGGAAGCTGAAATATATGTCAGGAACATTGTAAAGTACATTACGTATTATTGGTAATAAAGGTTGTCTGTCAACTTTTAAGTTAAAAAAATATGAACAGGAACATAACACCAAGTATACATGTTGTGTCCAAATATATTTATAACTGATTTAGACCAACTGACATTAACTGAGATTTTACAATGTATTCATCTCAATACATATGGATTCGTTGGGGGCCATAAAAGATAGATATTGCCAAATTACCTGTGGGGCCATATTAAACCAGAACACGGGCCGCAATTGGCCCATGGGCTGGACTTTGGACATGCCTGGCGTAGACCGTCAAACCAGTGCCATTCTCCAAAAGGATGCCCAGAGATTTCTTTCCATCAAGTTACATAACATTTCATAAGAGTCCCAACATAAATGTTCCATTGTTGATGCAGGCCTATTCTTTTCTAAGGCCACACATAATTTTAACAACAGAAGATATTAATTTAGTAGTGCTGAGTGCTAACGGAAGATACAGGAGAACCTCAGAGTTATGAACACCTGTGTTATAAACTGACCAGTGTACCACAAACCTCATTTGGAACTGGAAGTACACAATCAGAAAGCATCAGAGTTTCCCCACTTCTCTTTCAAAAAAGGAAATAAAATACTGTGCTAAACATAAATTACAGAAATTAAGTTAAATAAACAACAGCATTTTTCTTCTGCATATAAAGTTTCAGAGCTGCATTCAACTAATGTTCAGTGGTAAACTTCTGAAAGAATGTCATCATGTTCAGAGTTACAAACATTTCAGAATTGTGAACAGCTTCCATTTCCAAAGCGTTCATAATTATGAAGTCCTACTGTATGGTCTAGCTACAAGAAAATATGCATACTAGTCAGTCAAATGACTAGTACAACTAACTTATAGAATACATTATTTAATGGAATGAGGAATATCTTCTGAAATACTGTGCTTTGTTGACATGATTTTCAAAAGTATAACTGTAGAAAGAACAGACATATTTTTAGATCTACTTTAAATCCCATATGCCTTCTTGTCTTTAATTCCTTCAAAACTATTCAAATTTGCTTTCAGAGTTTCTCCCAAGAGCAGTAGAAACTGGCAGCTATATGCAATTAATTCTGTAAACTGTAGTAAAAAAAAAAGCTTACAATGATATTAAACTTTGAAAAGATGTCAAGGTAAGTGAGCTTATGTATAGTTTAATCTAAATGCAGAACCATAATGTAATGAAGTGAATATGCAAATAAACAGCACATATGAAAATAACTTCCACTTCAGTGTAACAACAGCCCTTCACAAATTCTAATGACAACCATATCCTGGGTTTATACATATGCAGATCATTTTCTGTCAAAATTGAATTTCACATTTCAATTTAAAGAAGAAGAAAATATTTACACACAGTCCTGTATGTACTCTGGGTGACATTAATAGATTTGGCTGATTATAAAGTTCATGTTTAATAAAAATGTAATATTTAACTAAACTATAATTTATCTTTAAATTGCTTTTATTAGTAATTACTGCTAAACAGTCTAATTAAGATATGTTTGGATCAAAAATGGTTGATTCTATAACGTTTTGTTCCTCAAGCAGTTCAATTTTTTTATTTAAATAAATAGAACTTTATGCTGAGGGACTTACAGGACATTATACCTCCTTTTGATGAAATGTATCAAAGGAACTCACTAACAGAAAATTCAGCTACATTAGTTTCAAATGTAGAGTTCACAGATAGCCAAGAGGTAATATTTAAGTACAGTGTATGAGGATATTCGTGTGTCAATTATGAAGATGCAAATGAGAAGAGCAGTATAAATTGGAACAATTTATTGTGATATGGTTTGCAGAATAAAAATAGAGAAGGGGGTAGAAATCACCTCATAGCAGGTATCTGGCTCTAAGCACGTGTACACATTCTGCTGCATATCCAACATATCCTGTAGTAACCCTTTCCAATGCATCTCACTGACGGGTGGTTGCCTAAATAAATAGAAAAAAAATCAATATTTATCATCCTCTTACTGGAATTTTTTATAAAAAAGAAAAAAAAGAGAGGATGCTACCTCTGACCCAACATATCACAGTTTTGGTTACAGGCAGTCCCCGAGTTACGCGGATCCGACTTATGTCGGATCTGCAGTTACGAACAGGGCCCTTCCTCTCCCTGGTCTCCAACCCCCCCCGGTTGCCCTGCCCCAGGCGTCCCAAAGCCAGCCGCTGCTGAAACTGACCAGTGGCTGACTACAGGAAGCCCTTGCCCCGGGCTTCCTGGAATCAGCCGCTGATCAGTTTCAGCAGCAGCTGACTTGGGGATGCCTGGGGTTCTTAAGTTGAATCTGGACGCCAGTTCCGACTTACATACAGATTCAACTTAAGAACAAACCTACAGTCCCTATCTTGTACGCAACCCGGGGACTGCCTGTATTTTTAAGTAAGTATCCCCAAAATCCTCCAGTGGGGAGAGAGTGAGTTATATTTGTTGAACACCACAAAAAGATAGGTAATTGCCATTCTGAGATATTAATATTGAATTACTGCAATAAATTGACTGCAATCTTCCAAAAGGCCTAATATATTGCCTGCTACCCATGGAGACATCATTATCTTATTGATGGGAGGAATTTAGAAGGCAGTATTTTATTAAGCTATTGGTTCACTGTCTCCCCAACTGCTTTTTGATTGTCAAGTAACACTGACGTTAGTATTTTCTCTATATTCTTTATAATGAAGTATTTAACTGAGCATCTGACCCTAATAGGTAAGTTAGTAAAATATGAAGGCCCAAGAGCCAACGAGCTGTACAGATAGGAGGTACTTTTCTTCAAAAGAACCTTCTTACTTTAGGTAGGACACTGATTTGATCTTTTCAAGCTATTTAAAAATTCTGAAGAGGGCTTTCAGCATGCATCAGCAATATTCTAGCCATCAAAGCTGATGAAGTTTTTCTTAACAAGAGAAGCAGTAATTACAACATAAAAATAGCTGCTTTTCTCAAAACTTCAACTGTCTTATTTCACTATTCTCAATGCAAGTTGTGCAATAACTCAGTTACAGTAAAATGGAACAAGAAAAGAATTTTCAAAATAAAATATTATTAAAAGAAATAGAAGACTTAATTATTGTTAAACTTTTACAAATACTGATACAAAAGCTTGTAAGAAAATCATTTGAAGCAAAAAAAATCTAAAAGCTTCTATTTCAAACTCTGCACTTTCTGTAAAATATAATTAGTTTTAAAATAATTTATTTATAGTTTTATTGTTTATTTAAAAAATACATGTACATCTAGAAGTATTCTTCTCTGCCAATATGCCTCTTAAGCTTGCTTAACTGAACAAAAATACAACCATGCTGAAATCAGTGTGAAACAATTCTAGCAAGAGGCATTATTTTTAATAACTACAAAAATCAGTGAGGCACTGGAAGCCAATGCTCACTTTCATGTTAACATGTTTGTTTTATGGATATTGTGTTAAGACTGAAAGAAAAAAAGTACCACCATATTGGTGCACAAAATGTGAATATGCACATCCTCTGAATATGACCATTCTAAGCTGACTAACATGGTCAATACTCACTTGCGTCCTGTGTGCCTCGTCAACCTAATCATAAGCTTGCGTGCTTGTTCAGGACTGCTCTGCGTATCTTTTACAAATGATACAGATTTCTGAAGTCCATGCTTCTCCAAAATTTCTGATACACTATAAATATACAGAATAAATCATTTAGCATCTTGCCATTTTGTACCACATTTGATCATTACTTACATTGCAATAGTGCCTCGAGTATCTCTCAACCTTTTTGATATTTAGGACCAGGGTTTGCTGCCTTCCTGAACTGTGTCAGGGTGCTCTCAGGGACCAGAACCAGTTCACAGACCAGTCACTGAGAAACAATGGCCTAGAGGCTTCAAACAACATCAGGGTTCTATTGCGCAGTGAGAGTCTCTCCCCTGAAGAGCTTACAACTTCAACAAACAAGTTAGACAAAGCGTGGAAGGAAGGAAATATTAGTAGGAACTAGGGATGTTAGCAGTTAGTCGGCTAACAGTTTAACTGATAAGCGATTGCTTATCAGTTAACAGTCCCAAGTTAGCCAAAATACCCTCCCTGCCCCCCCACATGCTCTGCAATTAAAACTTGGATCAGCAAGCTGCCTCAGTCCTAGTCCGCCTGTCCAAGTTTTAAATGGAGAGCACGTAGGGGAGCCACCTTTGATACAGAAGCAGCAGCATAGGGTAGCAGGCAGGAGCTGGTCCGAGCAGAGAGCCAGTTTAAAAACCGGCTCACGCCTGTCACCTTGTGCTGCTGCCTCTGATACAGAGGCAGTAGCATGGGATAGCTAGTGGGACTCCCCAGGTAGGGTTGCCAGGTGTCCGGTATTCACCTGGAAAGTCCAGTATTTTTGGCTCCTGTTGGGTAAAAAAATTCAGAGAATACCGGACGCGTAAAATGTCCGATATTTTCTGAGTTTTCCCCCAGCCAGGAGGCACCTGGTAACCCTACAAACACTCAGCACCCGGCCTCCCTCCGCCCCACCTCCCAGCCCCCAACACCCCCAGCTCCCCGGCTGCAGCCCTCATGCTTACCTGGTTCCCCAAGGCTGCCAGCACAAAATGGCTGCCAGGCAAAAGACCTAGGGAAAGCAATGCTTCCTTTGGGTCTTAGTGCTCAACCACTCCCCCATCCCTGCACTCAATCTTAAAGGAGACATGCTGTTTTATTATTTTTTTCCATTTAAGTCTTTTTTTTTCCCCCTCAACAACTTTGGTCTCTCCGCCCACCCTTTCCCCCCCCCTCAACACAATTTTCCCCCCTTTTTTGGAGGGGGAGGGGGAAGTCACTGCTTTTGTTTCAACCATCTGGCAATCCTATCCCCCGGACTGGAGCCGGGAGTGTACTGGCTGTCAGTCCCACCAACGATGGGAGCATTTTAGTAATTGTGTAACTGTTGCAGTTACATGATTACTAAAATGGATTTCTAACACTCCTAGGAACCTTACAGAGGAGGAGCTGATTGGAGGCTGAGAGAGTACACAACTTTGCCGAAGTCATACATAAAATCTGTGGCAGAGCCAGAAACTGAACTCACATCTCCCAAATCACAAACTAGCACCATAACCACGAGTACTGTCCTTCCTTCAAACAAAAAATACTGTCAGTACACATACCACATTGGCAGCTAACAGCAAGATTTTCAGCAAGTCCCTTCCGAACCAAACAAAATCTATTTTCAATTTAGAGTATATTCAAAAAATGTCACTCTCTAATCACCAGGTATTTTATCAAAGAAGCAAACCAAAAATTTGAATCTTATTTCAAGGAAGAATGTTATAACCATCTTGTTAACCCGACATTTTTTTTTTTAAAGGTTCTGATTATCAGAACATATAAACTTTTGCTAAACTATAAGGAGCTAGCATTACAGCAATACCATTAGAAACAAAAAAAAACTCCCCTCATTACTTCCTTTCTTAGACTAACCTCTCTTAGTCATTTTTGTTCCTCTTTTCTTCCAATAAACACTCAAGGCATTTGAAACTTGCTCAGAGAGGTCTCCACGCTGTGCAGTTTGCCCCCCATACCTCCATGGGGTCGGAGAAGAACATTCACAGATGCACAGCGGGGTCCCAGGCCAACCCCCACAGAGAGTGGGGAGGGAGCTCCACCTAGCTCTGTTCCTAGTGCCAGCTGTGGGCCTTATGGCAGGGATTCTGACTGCCAGCTCAACATCAGGGAAACTTGCTCAGAGAGGTCTCCACGCTGTGCAGTTTGCCCCCCATACCTCCATGGGGTCGGAGAAGAACATTCACAGATGCACAGCGGGGTCCCAGGCCAACCCCCACAGAGAGTGGGGAGGGAGCTCCACCTAGCTCTGTTCCTAGTGCCAGCTGTGGGCCTTATGGCAGGGATTCTGACTGCCAGCTCAACATCAGGGGTTCTGGTTCTAGCCAGGGCCGCCAACCACATGCCCAGCAACTTCACACCCCGGAATCCCACTCCTGGCTGAGACTCTGCTCCTTGCTGTCCTCAGCCTTTGCTCCCTTCTCTCTGTCCATGTCCCTACTCCTGGCCCTGCCTCCAAAGGGTGACGGCAGCAGACAGGGTAATGGGGGCACAAGGTAAAAAGTTTGGGGACTGCTGGCTTAGAGACTTTTGTCCACAAATACCAAAGCAGTTCAACACTCCGTTCTCATTCCTTTCAATTTTAGCTTTGATATTTACTTTGGGACAGTAGTTGTTGAAATATGTTTTGTAAGGAAAAAGTTACAATCCAAATATTGTAGAAGAATTTAAGATTCAAAAAGTAATTTTCCTCTAGATTTGTAGTGAAGAGTTTAGATAGGACCTAATTTCATGTGTCATGGTAATCTGCATGTTCTTGTACTACTCCTCTAATAAAACAATCAACTGTTGATATGGTAAATTGTTTTTACCTGAGAATTTTTTCCAGTTCATCTACCCTGTCGTGAAGCGTTTTAGTTATATCTGTTTCAGGGCTGTGAAGGTTTAAAAAAACAAAACACTGTTGAATCCAGTTATTGTTGGCATACCACATTATTGACAAGGAAATAAACACTAACAGGTTGGATATTCAGCCTAGAATCTTTCAAAACCAAAGGATGCTGCAGCTTGACAAGGAAGGAGCAATACTGTTGGCTTCTAGTAAAAGACAGGCCAAGAACTTGTAGGTAATACTAGACAACACTGAACCTACCTCCAGAAATATAGAGGCTTGCTTCTCACTTGACACTTTGCCATTCAACTCCCTCCCTTCCACCTATGCACATTTTTTTCAAGTGTGATCTTCCCAAATGTGGAGATTGGCAATGGACCCAGAACAGAAGAAAGCAGCTCAAGGCTACTCCTGTTATTCAGTCTTTCATCCATTTTCTCCAGAAATGTTGGTCAGAGTAGGAGGGCCTGCTTCAAAATGGCATGAATGCCTATGACTGTCAATGTTGTATGTAGTAGAAATATTAAAATGTTTTTAAGTAAACGTGTAACCGCTGAAATTTTGAGTGGTTACCCAGTCACACCGGGGGAGAGGGAAGGTTACTCGGAAGTAGTTGTGCACAGGTAACCAGCTCTTAAATTGCTGGTACAGAAGCAGCAGCACAGTAGTGGGGAGAGCAGGTGGCACACAGGAAGCCAGCTTTTAACAGCTCCCCATGCACACTGGAAGCCTGTGTGTCACCATGAAGCTTAAATGATGAGCTCAGGTTCAACAGCTAACCATGTACAGTTACACTTCCACATCCCTAGTACATAGCTGTCTCAATAAAGAGACAAGGTGGGTGAATTTTTTTTATTGGACCAATTTCTGGTGTTGAAAGAGACAAGCTTTCCAGCTTACTCAGAGCTCTTCTTCAAGTCTGGGACATATAATCAGAGGGTATTGTCTACACTACAATTAGTGATTTGAGCTTGCACATCTTAGGATAAGGGGCTGTTTAATTGTAGTAAAGATGTTTGAGCTTGGGCTGCCTGAGCTTGGGTATCCTCCTACCTTTGTCTGATATATAAAGTAGAAATGTGAAAGGTTAACTTTTCAGTGGTTACAGTTACCTATTTAACCAACTTTTTACATCCCTAATACAAAGTGCTGGTGAATAGCCCTGGCCTGAACATCCTGATGTTAACCTTTCGATTTAGATAATTTATGAATTTTTTTTGTTTAACGTATATGTCATATAAGCTCAAAGAGTTCAATTAACAAAAGTCATTACATAATTATGTTACATACTCTAGCAATTAATTTATTTTAATTATTTCCCCAGGAGAAAAGCATATCATGTCAGGAAATATTTTAGGTAATTCAGAACTATGTTTAATGTGTCCTAAAACATCTGCAGATAACCACTAACGTATGCTCACCCATATCCTCTTTGTGGAAGGCATTCCAAAATATCATAACAGAGGGACAACTGGTCATCTCGTTCACAATTATAGATACATTCCAGTGCCATACTCATCAGCTGGTCCTGATCAGGAATTATTTTTTGCTGACACTGTCAGAAACAGAATTAATTTTGCTGTATGTTGGAACATTTTTTTCCATTTATAATCAGTTTTCCCATACTCCAGTGCTACTGTCAATACAATCTTAGTGTAATTATAACTGTAAACCAATTTAATGATTTTTTTTTTAATTAGAGGCTCTCTGAATCTTTAATAATTCTTGTCAAATATCTTTTGTAAGTACAAAAAATGCAACAGAAGTTATTCTGTATCTTCTATGTACTGCAACTGGCTGAAACAGCAAGATACTTGCAACTGAATCCTGTTTACTTTTGAAAAAGAAAATATTTTAAATAAGCAAATTATTAAATAAAAATGTTTGAGACTTGAAACTATTACTTACGTCCATTAAAGCAGTTTATATTATTTGCATATTAACAGCATCCATACTCACTAAAATGCTAGTTACTGTGTATGACCCATCCGTCATACAAACCACTGTTGTATGCAGCAGAAAAATTAGGTGCTTCTAATTATTATATCAATTTATGATTCAAGGATTTAAAATTGCAATCGAAACTGGATAGACACACTACACTAATTCAGATAGCTGCAGATAAGATGCTGAAATGCAACCTTATATTGCCAGAGTATATTGCATTTTACTGAAAATCCTTTAACAGTTTGTAATTCCATGTTTACAGAAAGACCATTCACTTTTGTAAAAGCACAACACTCCTCCTCTAAGAATGCTTGCTGTTATTTTTCCTCTGTATCGGGGCCATGTTTTGTGGATACCTTCAATGTAGATCAAATGCCAATGTTTTTCAATCATCTAAACTTGCATTGTTCAGACCAGGTCTAGAGGAGACACTGGTAAAAACAGTGGATGTCAATCCGCACTAGATCTGCTGTAAATGCAGGACACAACATGCAGAAGAGTAATACAAGGGTGTATTATGGGAAAAATCAGTTACTTTGCAATAGTGTGTCTTTCAGTAAGGATGTAATTACTTACAAATGATCGATGGTAGAGTCCTTCTGCAAGACTCTGAGGGAAAAAAGTGATGGTTTACAAGTCTGTCACAGCAGATGACTATGTAGTAATGAGAAAATCTTGCTATACTTTTATTGGAATAGTCATAAGTTGGCAGAGATTACAACTGTACTGAATATGCCTTCATCACAATAGGAAAGAATGTTAAGCATTTAGGGTGGAATTTTCAAAAATACTTTGTGTCAGCTTAACCCTGATCCTATTGAAGTCAATAGAGTCAGCCGACACTGAAAAAGATTTTCCAAGTAGTATATCCCCACTTCTTTCCTTCTCGTGTAACACCACCAATAACAAAATTTCTGCAGACCAAATTCGGTCCTCACTTGCACTGTGCAAATGTCTCCAGTGAGGCTGTGTGGGAGTAAGCAAATGGAAATGAATACATAATTCCAATGATGATGCATAAGAAGGAACATCATCTAGCTTTCTCACATCTAACTAGCAGGGAAGACACCGATGAGCAGTAAAAAGTTAATTGTATCTGTTAAACAAGAAGATATGTCTGAAGATAAACAAGGAACAGATCTACTGAGTAAGAAGTCATTTTTAGCAACACTTTTGCAGAGTAGAACCATACTTCAAAAGCAGATAGTTAGATAACGATCAGTTGAGGAGAGAAAGCCAAAACTTTTGTTTATTTGGCCAGTATATGAAATACAACTTCAATTCCAATTTTAATTGGCTCTTAAATGCACAGTTAATTCATTTTCAGGACTATTTTCCAAATATGTTTCGCAAGATGTAAGAAGTGACTGCTGAATGCCCTCTTTTGAGCAAAGAGGAAGTAACAAATATTCATCTCATCCAATATGAGACTAAACATCTATTAGAAGCAACATAAAATCTGTAGCTGAACGTAAGAGTTAGTTGTATCAGTATTTTGTATTACAGCAATTATATTAGTTTATTCCATGTTCTATATCATTAATGAAGATTTCTCACATCAGTGGCCCAAGAAACAATATCGGTGGTATCCAACTCTGACGACACTGCCGTCTTTCACTGTCTCTTGATTTTCAGTTTTAGCCAAAGGTCAATCCACACTCAAAACATCTAAGGCAACATTAATGTTCCAATTAAGGTTTCATGACATAGTATTTAGCATTTTACTAGAGCCCAAATCATTACTGTGGTTTCTTGTTCTGCTAATTTTGTACTTTTATGAAAAAGCCATCAGGCATGTCTGTCTAACAAGATTTATAAAATCATGTTACTACACATAGTTCAGTTGCCCTCTAGATATTTAGTGATTTATTAGCTCTCAATATTTGTTCTGTTAGTTTACTCTGAATCAGGTCTTGATTAAATCAACATAGCACAGCATGACATCGGACTCCCATGGTTTTATCCCTGTGGACCTGTGCCCCACCATCCATTTGAAGAAGAGGCAGCCGAGGATCTTCTCCCATTACAGAAGAATCAGGGAGAGTCCTTCTATTTTCAGAAGCAATAGAGGTGTGTCCTTCTCCACACTACGAGGAGAGGTAGAGGGGAGAGAACTTACCTTGGCAGCCAGATTGTGCCTATGCAGGAAGTGGGTATGTTGATATAGTTACTGATTATGCACTTAAAACACAGGAAGGGAAGCTCAGGATTTAGGATGGACCTTTCTGCTATGTATGTTTTACATGTAAATAATTACACAAATAAATCAACTTTGCAGGAACTGACGAGGGTTGTGGGATGAATGTAAATTTCAAATATCCAGCGACACAGATTTCAATCTGGCTACTGAGAAAAGGTAGTTTAAATAATTATGAATGTTTCCTTTATATAAATACTCCTTACCAGAACTCATAAAGAAAAAAAAATGAAAGCTGGTAACATTCTTCAGGCAAAAGCATCACACAGAAGTTCTCAAAAAATTATTTTAAGAGGCTTCAAACAAACTACCAAAATATTCAGCCATCTCCAAAAAATGTAGTTCAATGCAATACCAAAAAAGATATTTAGAAGAACCCACACTAACTTCAACTCTGCTGGGTATTCCTGCTAGAGATTAATTATTAACATAACTTTTGAAATTGTGTTTAAACCTTGTTTAGGGAACTTATTTTCATATTTGCATGACAACTGTTCAGTGAAAAAGGAAATAAAACAACAGAGTCAACCTCCAAACTGATTAGGAAACAAATAAAGCTTACTTATGAATCCAATTTTGCTGGATAAATTATAGTTTTCTAATAAAACAATAAATAAAACAACTATGAATCAGTACTTACATCTGGTTTTGAATTTTGAAAGATCTTGAGAGGGAATTTCAGGTCTTCCTTTGCTAAGGTTACTAAATACTCTCTAAAAAGTGTGTTTGCAAGACCAGGGGACTGATTTTCACAGCGATGTAGAAATGGGACCATCCACTGATAAATGTTCTTCACATATTTTTCATCAGAAGACTAGAAAGCATAAGGAGTTAAACAAAACAAACAAAAGGAACCAGTTTTTATCAATGAAAAAAAGTAAAAACAAATATTTTGTGTAACAATAAAATTATGCTAACTATGCATTATCAGCACCATTCAAATCCCGAGCTTGAAGCATTGAAGCATTGCCTCCTACTGTAGTAAGATGAAGGCCAGAAACATAAGCCCATGTAGCACAGCTTTGGTCTGAGGCATGAGGCCTAGCTAACAATGGACAAAACATGGCTAACAAAGCAAAGCTAACCTGTGACCAAGAAGCTGGCCCATGCCCACAATAACAAAGCAAAGCTAACCTGTGACCAAGAGGCTGGCCCATGCCCACAGAACTTGGCATGAACGGGGCTGAGAGTGCAAAACACTAACTAACAACAGGGCCAGGTGTAGAACAGTAATCGGTACTAGGTACCGACTGTAAAACAGTAATTGGTATTGGTCATAATTTGAAAGCACATGACAAAAGCAGCTCATTAAAAAAGACCTTGGTACCCATACTCCCCACAGATACCCGCCCAAGTTCAGGAAAGGGTCTAAGGACGCATGATGGATAGACATGATCTAATCAAGCCACAAGATAGGGGTGATGGGTGGTATCTAAGTGATGTGTAACTTGTTTGTACCTATATATAAAGTGGTGTCTTGGGGGAGTCATTCCATTGTTACAGAGTAAATATGCGTAGTGGTTCAATAGAGTCTACTGGCAACTCTTACTGTACTTTGCTTAACAATAAACCTGGCCAGGCACCTTCGATCCTTATCTGATTCGTATTCTTTGGGAGCTCTCTTCAAGTCTGCTGTGTTAATTAATATGTAAATCAACATGGTGCACATGCAAGCAACCTTCTGGTTATCATCACTGAGGGAGCTAGAGACCTTCAGGAATTCATCAGGAGGACCCCGCCTGACTGATATCACCTACCACTTTAACTACAGAATTAGCTAAACTGGAGCAGAACACTGTCATCCAAGATGGGAGGAATGGTCTCTATTGTGTCTAAGGGAATCTTATAAGAAAGCCCAGCTCTCTCAATTTCCTCAGCTGCTTTGACTACAGCTGACCTGGTCACTACCAGGCATTCCCAGTACAACGTCCCATCTCACTGCTCCTTTGGTGGTAGAATAAGTCTAGTCTTACCATAATTATATTAAGTTATTTTGGAATACTGCTAAAAGCTTCCCAAGCAATGCAAACAAGAGAAATAAATACTGATTTTCAACAGTGTATGGTCTCAGCAAAACTTGGACAGAATTTCATGGGACAAAGAAAAGGCACTCTCTTGCCTAAGGGTGTTCCCTCTGCTGAATTTCAAAGATCTGATGCATACCTTGAAGGTGTTTCAAAAGAAAAAAAAAATCACTAGAAATCTTTTCTAATGGTAAGTGTTAGGCAAATTGTGCCCTCCCCAAAGCAGCACATGCACTTCCCTGCGAGCTGGATCTGGAGAAGAGCCTCGGGGTTTCCTCTTCTCCCCACTCTCCTGCAGGAAGCCAGAGCTGGTGCACTCATCTTATGGGGAGGCAGGGGCATGAGTCTGAAGTGTCTGGCCCAACGCAGCCAGAGGTGGTGGCAGTTCCACAATGGGTCCTGGAGTGTTGGGACCCCAAGCGCAGTGAGGAGCCGTTGCTGCCTCCGCCTGCTGGCTCGGCCCCAGCCCTCCTCCAGCGGCTGGAGGGGAGGAGGAAGGGCGCGGACTGAGAGGCCGGGGGGAGACCAGGGCTGGATGCGGCCACGGGCAGGGGGAGAAGTGGGTTGGCCAAGAGGCCAGGTCTGCGACCGGGTAGGGAATGGTGAGGCCAGGGCTGGCTGCAGGAGGAGGGAGGGGGGGAAGGCTGGGGCTGGCGCGGTCCTCCCCTACCTGGTTGCGGAGGCTAATAGGCTGGGGAGGGAGGGTGCTGAGAGGACAGGGCTGCCACAGCCCCCAGCCCTCCTCTCCCCAGCACCCGGGATTGGCATGGCCTTCTCCTCCCAGGCGGCTGGGTGGAGATCTGGGCTTGTCTACCTCCAGGGACAGAGGGCTGGCAAGCATAGCAAGCAGGGGGCATAGTCCCCTAGTGTTGTTTTAATTTTTAATAATGAGCAAAAATGGTTCCACTGTTTTCCAAAAATACTATTTCTACATTACTAAAAAAGGAAAAATCTAGTGCCAACCCTGTTAAGGATATGAATGGGAAATAAGTGGAATTGTGACAGGGAAACACCTCTGGCTGAAGAGCATTGTTATATTATGTATTCCAGGAGGTCTATATAAGCATGGAAATTATTTAGGCTCAACCACCTACTCAATACATTTTCAAAAATACATACATTCATCATTAGCAATCTTAGTTTTTCACTATCTTTCATCTCCTGCAGATCTTTCAAGGTTAGGGTTAGATCACATCCAGTCTCATAAATCAGCATCTCCAGAGTAACCAGGTTATCACAAAGCACCTGCAGACCAGGAATGTTCCTCTCCATGCCAAGCCGAACCAAAGACAGAGCACAGTCCACCTAAGCACAAGGAAAAAACAACATTGTTACCCGATTGCTTCTTTTTGATAATCAGCGTGTGAAATAGTCCTAACTGGTCCTTCGGATATTATTGTTACAATAATTTTTCCAAGTAGGGTCTATGGCTGTTTGAAATCTCATTTGCATTTATGAAGCATTTTGAATTAAGAGCTCCCTGTCCTTTCCTACGCATACTTACAAAAGACTCACTAGTCTCAAGAACCCCGGGTTTGAGCCAGAGTAGTGTCATGGTCATGAAATAAGAGGTCACAACACTTATTGGAAAGTTCAAAGGCTTCAGGAATCGCACACAAAACTTACAACTCCAAACATTTTCTTCAAAATTATTCCCTGTTTAATTGGTCTGTTTTCTTTAAATCACTGCATCAGGACAATGCTCCTCAGACAAAGCAGGTGGTTGTCAAAGAAACTTTCACAGCTACTACTAATGCTTCAGAATCCTT